ACAATATTAATAAAAATACTCCTCCTCTCCATCAAAAGTCATACTCATCAAATAAATAAATAAACAGAACTTCCCGTGTTTAAAGTTTGGCCAATGGTGATCACTACAGCTCTGCCTCCTACTTCGCAAATAGTGAACACTATCTTGTCGGCTCTCGTGTCCGATCGGGCTTCGGCTGCAATGCTCGCCCTCACAAGCTCTTAGCTTCTTCTATCTGGTTACGTAAAACATACAGGGGATGATTTCTTATCTCCGTCGCCTCATTTCGTCAAATTCACCTCCATCCATCTAGAACTTGTACACACAAATATCATTAGTTTATTATATTTTAAAACTTTGTTATATATCAATTGAAGTGCTTAACAAATAAAAAATAATAATTAGTAGTATTTCATAGATTTGTTCAAAAAATAAATCTATGTTCTTACACTTTTTTTTTATTTTTATTTTTCATAGGGGTTGATTGTAAAGACCATGCCACCCTTATAGGAAATACATTTTTTTTTTATCTATTCTACCTTTTTAATACTAATTGCACAATTTTATACGGCATCTTTGCTTGACCCAATTGGGGTGTTACAAACACCAACATCCATTTTATTTAGCTTACATGTTTCAAAGAAACATATTCTTCCTGCCTCATTCTGAACGCATTTCATTAAATTATGATTAGTATCTTCCACAATCCCACACTCAGCGCAATCTGTCGAATTTGACTTACCCATTAAAACCGCAAAATAGTTCAATGGAAGGTGACCCGAACGAAGCCTAAAACTAGTTTCAGTATCATATCAACTCATATCGGCCTAGCTGACTCATGAGAAACGTCATATATATATAGGTAGGTTGAATAGTTTTATACCCAATACTTTTATGTAACAGTTTTTCACTAAGATATTCTTTCCACGTTTTCTAATCATTGTATTTTTATTAAAAACAAAACATCTGACCAATATGGTAAGTATGTAGTATACACGGAATACGGTCTGTTATGGCTTCTCTTGCAAATTTATCTACTATTTCATTATTTTCTAGGCCGACATGTGAGGGTACCCACTGTAGTACAATTTGTTTATTTTTACAATGGAGATTACTTAATAACTTAATCATTTCATAAGCTATAGGCATTCCTCTATAGGCTAGATAGAGTACACCGATTCAAATGTAAAGAGCACTTTAAAAATTAGCCAGTAATACTTCTCGTAATCCCAGAAATCAATATAGGACAGAGCTTCAGCAGTAGCAAAGAGTTCAATATGCATAATCAAAAATTTAGAATTTAGAGTTAACTTATAATTTTCTTAGATTGCGGGTCCCAAAAAGCTGCTGTAGCCCCACAATTATCCGTTGAACCATCATTATAGATTTTGTAAAAATCAAAATATTTCCCAGAACTTTATGCAGACCTCATGCAATGTGTGGAGATTATAAAACTGTTTGTACCTATTTATAATATCAACATCTGTTCTTATACTTTTCGATAAATCTATTTTATTAACTCAGAGTTCAATGAAAACATTTCCATCCGTTCACTAGAAAAAATATTGGTTGATTTATAAGCTTCATGAGTTTTAAGTAATAAAGGTTTTTATTCCATGTGTTCTCTATAAGTATCTGTAATATTTGTGTGAAAACTATCTAATACGTAAACTATATTATTGTTTTTAAAGGAACTGATTTTTAACCAAAATTTGCCTGCAAGGTACCTAATTCTACGAATGTGGAGTGGAGGGTGATAAAGCTCACATTCCATCACGTGAGTGGCAGTGGTTTTGATGTATCTACCGATTATTCTCAAACATTGGTTTTAAACTATATCCAACTTTTTAAGATGAGTTTTGCAACTATTAAGTTAAAAGAATTTTTTTAATTCTCAAAAAGGACAAAGTCACTTACATGAGAACAACGTAATTACATAAAGTAAAAATTATGTAAATAGTCGCCACATAAGTAGGTACTCAGTTAACGAGATATAGTTACAGATGTATGTATATTAAATGTTATTAAATTGGTTATTTTCCAAAATATATTGTGAGAGCTGAGATTTAAATCCGTTTATTGAGCTTACATTTTTTTTAAAGTAGATAGTAATTTGTTATAGAGTTGTGATCCTTCAAATGTAATATCCTTCTTTGCATAATTTGTTGTAGTTTTTGGGAGAACTGGTATAGTCAATTTTACTACGAATTAATGAAATATATAGACGTCGCATGTGCACTGGATGAATACCCCAACTAGAACTGCCAAGATCTTTAAAACTTTTAAACATCTAGATAAATTAACCTTTCATTCATCTATATGCTTTTTCTATTTTAGTGACTTATCCAGCCAAACACCTAAATATTTAATACTATCAACTTTTTCCAAAGCAATGTTATTAATTTTTAAATTAATTATTTATTTTCTATAGTCAGACATGAAAACACAAATCTTTGTTTTTGATGGCGATACAGTCAACCTTATATCGGATAAATGACTATTCAATTCATCTAGCGATCTCTGCATACGTATGGTCCCTAAGCTAAAGTTATCACAAGTTATTTATATCACAAAATCATCAGCATATTGGGATATTAATACATATTTTTAATCTTTTTGCATAAATTCATAGTTGCTAAATTGAACACTAAAGGTGATAAAGGATCGCCTTGGGCTAAGTTTTCCTAGAGACATAATACGAGTTATCGATTAAAATATTAAGATTTCTTTCCTTGAAAAAATTATGTATGTAGGTGCAAATATTAGATCCGACTCCCATTTCTCCACGTTATGTAAAAGACCTCTAAGATTGTTATTATATGCATTATCGATGTCTATAAAGCGTACTATAGTGTACGTCTTCCTTAAAAGAAAACTTTCTCTATTGTCAATACTAAATCACTGAGATTATCAAGTGTAGATCGGAATTTTCTAGACCCATTTATCCGGTTTTAAAAAAAATTCAAACTTTTCTATAAACCATTGTATTCGCTTCAATAGAATGTTATGAAAAGCTTTACAAACGGACAACATCATTGAAATAGGTCTTAGGGATGAACTAGAACCAACCCGACCAGGTTTCGGAATAGGAACAACTTTAATGTCTCTCTACTGTTTTGGTATAAATTCAAGATTCAGAAATTTATCGTATAGTAAAAGTAACACGTTTGGCATTATTTGGAAGGAACCTAAGAATAGAATATAAAATATTGTCACATCCAGGAATAGTATCTTTTGAGCTAAATGACTTTTCAACTTCTGTTATTATACAATATTCAATCTAAGTTAATATGTATTTTATCGCCTTAATTCTATCTCAACACATCATTTTCTACTTTCAAATAAAATTTTCCGTAGATATTTTTAATATACTTTGGATTAATCCATATACATCTAACTAATAATCACACTATTTTGTATTTTTTTTCATATTATTCAACTTAATACACAATTACCTCACAAATTGAAACATATTTTAGGATTTTGAATCCTTTCACTGAAAAAAAATCATATAAATTACAAAATAACGTAACCTTCAAATTGTCAGATGATCCGTGGGCGTTGCAAAAACAGTATATTTTTGCAGTAATCCCACTTCTGAGCTAAAACAGCTCAGAAGGGTTTTCCAGGAAGACAAATATTTGGCAATTAACAATTATATTTCTCGCTTTTTCTGTATACTCATTTTACATTTATATTTTATATTCCTAACTCATATAATGCGAATCACCGACTGTCCACTTGACATATCAAACATCTATATTCAAAATCTACGAACTGGCACATAAAATAACTAAATGTTACAATATAAAAATAATTTATTTTAAAATCTTAAATTGATTTACAAAAAACTTCGATTTTAGATATAATCGAATTTCTGAAGCGCCCTATGCCGATTTAAGTTATTACCTATAATACATACGCAATAAATCATAATAATCGGTATACATGCAAAGGGACAAGAAATTCGATAGAGATTAAATAGGATTCGCTTAAAACACATTTACTTGCGTACAAATACGAAAAGCAAATGACAATATTATGTCATACGATTTTCGTATTCAGATATTTAATATATAAGGAGGTTTTTATTTAGCGTTAAAAATAAATCATAATTTTTAGATTTTCGTTTTATTTTTAACGTTATATTTAAAATATAATTCAGCTTAGATTCTACAAAAATTTACGCAAACCGCACAGCATCAATTCTCAAATAAATTGATCATAATTTTTAATAGAACAGTTCTATAAAATCACTTCATTTATAAAGACATCGACGTTTTAGAAAATAAATAAGATATAATATCCATTTATATGAGCATTAAGCAATATCGAAAAATGCATTTTTACTTAACTTGGCCGTTGCAAATAAAATTAAAATTTTAATGGAATAATCAAAAAAAATCCATTCCATTTTTATATAGTTAACACTTTGTAGCAGAAAAAAGCAAGAAATTGTGTTTTAAATTTATTTAAGAATGTTGTATGTTCTTATGAAAAAAACTCAAAATTATCTACAGAATTTTGCACCCATTTTAAGTCTTTTGTCGGTGAAGTTGACAACCATATATACTTAATCTTAATACATATTTAACTTGGCTCCCATTTTCACATTTATGTTTTTGATGTCATTATTTTTTTCTACAATTATTTATTTATGCTAACCAATTATTCATTTATGATAACATCACTTTCTTTATGTATATATTTAATTTTGTACATCCACGCTAGTTTTAAACTGAACACATTTTTTTGGACATAATTAGGTATGACTTTACTAACTATCAAAGTCACTTTAACATAAAGTGTTAACTGTGACTTTGATGCTTTGATGTGTAAAAGTGACATTACAAAATGACGTGATGTGCAGAAAAAGAAAATAAAAATATCAATTTATTATAAATATTACATTATAATACACGTTTTTTATCATTACTTACAAAAGTTTAATAAAGAACAACGACGTTTAGTGATAAAACGAAGTGATATCTTTTTATTTATGTGTTGAGATTTTTATTGACATGATGAAATATTCAACATCACCTACACCTTCTACTTCGAGCTACCCCAGAAGTACCTCACCACTACCAGCTCCAGCCAATTATCAGCCCACAACAGCCAGTGCTGCTGTAAAACGATACAAATATCTTAGACGTCTATTCAAATTCAACCAAATGGACTTTGAATTTGCAGCTTGGCAAATGGTATACCTGTTTGTATCACCACAGAAAGTGTTTAGGAACTTTAACTATAGGAAACGTAAGTGAAATTAATTTTTAATAGTAGCTTCATTTTAAGACAATATGTTTTGTTTACTACTTGTATTAATTACATATCCATTGCACTATACTGTAATTCATATTATATACTCACTACTACTTTTCCTTTTTTAAATAACTCAAAATATATTAAAGTAGCCTTTTTAAAATTAACTTTCAAATCACCATTTATTGATTAACCTTGAAAGGTATGACTTCTTATAGTTATTACAACAATAATTAGATTGTTTTGTTCTTTCAGATACAAAATCACAATTTGCAAGAGATGACCCAGCTTTTTTAGTCCTATTAAGTGTATGGTTATTCTGTAAGTATTGAAAATATTTAATACATAAAAATTAAAAAATATGTTTGGTTCAATATTTAAGTATGCTTTCATATAAATTAATAATAATTTTAGTAAGTAGTTCATAATAAAAATTATTGAAGATATGTACTCTTAGTTTTAAAATTATTCCAGTGTCTTCTGTGTGCTTCGCCTTAGCTATGAGCTTGAACTGGACACAAATAACTCTATTTGTTCTTTTTGTGGTATTTGTCGACTTTATTGGAGCTGGCATCATCGTTTCAACAATTTTTTGGTAAGCTTATTGAGTTTATATTTTAGGTGTAAATAATATTCTAATAACACAATATTATTTTAAAAATTAAGGAAAGAAAAAATATTTCTAATAAGTTTCTAATAAATCGTTATGTAAAATTAATTATAGAAAAAGTAAATCTTCAAATATTTTTGTCTAATTTAAAACTAACTAACTAAAGGACTAATAACTTAAAGGACAATGAAATGCTGGATTCTTCCAATAAATATTACAATGTTCCTGATGAATATACCTTTGCTTTAATAAGTTTTTATTTGTATCCATAGATAGTACTGTTTGCATTTAGTTATAATTATCACCTCCAGGTAAATTTCTCAGAAATTAATTAAATTTCTAAGAAATCTATAACACACCGGCGTGTCCATGGTCATGGAGGGATTAAGATCAAATACCAATATCCACTTACTGAGACAAAACACTGTTTAGTTTCTTTGTATGGAATTTATGTTTAGTAAAGTATTGTGTCATCTGTGCTTTAACTGTTAATAGCTTATGAAGTAAAATTACAGCACTGCTTCATGCTTTATTAATTAAATTTCATGAAACAAAAATCAAATAACTTGAAAAAATGATAATATAATAAGAACATCCAACTTTTAGGTATTAAATATGAAAATTTGCTAAACAAATATTTTTATTAGTTCACCTCATAGTAGCTGTACTTGGTAGCCACTACACCACCGAGGCAAATAAAGCTTACTATACAGAAAGTCTCAATAACTGAAATTGGCCTGACCCAGGTCTCCAACCCAATACATCCGGGGTTTGCAGCCATACATGTTAGCCACTACACCACCGAGACAGTAGTGTAATATATATCTTTACTTATATTTAGTAAGCCATATTCATATAAATGTTGCATTATTTTTTCAGGTATATAAGTAATAAATACTTAGCTGTAGACGGAGCAGTAGGTGACGTGGAGTGGGGCTATGCTTTTGATATCCACATCAATGCTTTCTTCCCGCCTTTGTCTTTACTACACTTCTTTCAAATACTATTATTCAATAGTGAGTTTTTCTATATAATTATAGTTTCTAAAGGTGTATTTACAACATATTCCATTTATTGTTTTAAATTTATATCATGAAAACACAAGTTTACAATCTACACCAATATTATAAAGAGACTTAAGTTTGTATATAAGGGGAAATCTCTGAAACTACTCACCCGATTCTGAAAATTCTTTCACTAACAGGAAACTAAATTACCATGTATGGTATTGCTAATTTTTTTATTCTTTTTTGCTTTTATCTCAGATTATATCAACATATTCTCAATGAATTCTCATTTTGAAACTAGCAGAAATTTTGAATTTGGACATATAATTATTTTTATATAATTATTATTTTATATAGTATTTTTAAATTATATTTACAAATATATTTCTTGAGAGAAAAACTAAAGCAACGTCTTTATGCTAAGTAAAAACAGTGCTTAGTAAATAATATCAATTTATTTTGAATAACTTTCTCCGTTGCAGATCTACCAGTCCTGTCGTGCCTGGTGGCCAACACATTCTGGCTGGCATCCACCATATATTACATGTACATCACATTCTTAGGATATAGCAGTAAGTATATAAAAATATAAATACTATACTTAGGATTACTCAGAAGTCCAGATAGTTCATAAATATATTCTGACATCTTTGCATCAATATATTTTAGAAGTATCTTTTATGTACTGTGTACTTATATACTACGAGCTTACAATTGGTCATAATTCCGTTGAGATCCTTCTATACATCTATTGAAAACTAGCGACTCACCCTTGCTTCTCTTCGGATTTGTCCCTCAAACCTATTCTACACAACAAAAGTCTATCTCACGGAAACCGTACATTTTTTCCAGGATAAAAAGTAGCCTATGTACTATTCCAGACTATAATCTATCTCTGTGTCAAATTTCATCCAGATCCGTTCAGTTGTTCTGGCATGAAAAAGTACTAAACATCCATCCATCCTTACGAACTTTTACAACTATACATATAGTAGAATTCTAACTTTGTCAAATCTGTACATGAAATATTTTTTAGAAAATCTTATTGAAATAGTCATTATTATCGATAAAGAGGCCGACTCTATAGTTTTTAGAATTTATGTCTGTCTGTGACCGCATCACGGAAAAACCGCTGGAGGGATTTTGATGAAATTTGGTATGTTAATAGCTGTTTATCCGGGTTAACATATAGGATACTTTTTACTGCGGGAAAATATCTCATCTCTGAAAAATTTATACTAAACACAATAATGAAAACTTAAGTAGGGACGAACCCGAGCGAAGCGAGTACAGTACAGAGTAAGTATGGATACAAAAGAGTCCTGAAAAAATATATATAAATGAAATAGGTACTACCTAGTAGATAATTTCTTAAATAAATTTAATGAATTTTATAAAATAATCTTATTATTCTTCTTTACAGATTTGCCAATGATCAAAAACGCAAGAGTGTTTCTACTTCCAGTGCCAGGTCTGATCCTCTTATACATTGGCACAGTAATAGCGGACTTCAATCTAAGCAGTATGCTGATGGACTTCTATAAATACAGAATACTATAGTACATAAATATAAATACATTAAATAAAAATGTAGAAACACATGACAGATGTGGGCAGAGACAGGTTATATATAAAATATATAAGAACTGAAACAATGTCATTTTTACTCTGTATGTAATTATTTAAAGAAAACTTGTTAATGCTTAAAAATATTCTAAGGTTGATATACCTAATTCAACGTTATTAATGATTATTTGTCTATCTATACATACAATAAAATTCTGATTCGAATCTGTACATTAAATATTTTTTGGATTATTTTTTGGATCTTATTGAAAATAATCATTATTATCGACACAGAGGCCGAATCTAGTTTTTAGAATTTTTGTCTGCCTATCTGGGAACGTGTTACGAGAAACCCACTGGACAGATTTTGATAAAATTTGGTATAAATGATAGCTGGTTATCCGGATTAACATATAGGATACTTTTTATTGCGGAAACATATCTCATCTCTGAGAAATCGACACTAACCGTATCCAGGGACGAACCAGAGCGGAGCGAGAGTAGCGAATTTATAATACAAACCACTTATATATTTCCCTAGTGTCTGTTTTCGAAAGTAACGAATATTTTCCCATTTTTAAGAAAGAAAGGCTCATAAAACAGATATATGTTGACTTAATATAAATTAATAAAATCCAAATCATTATATATCGTTCATTTTTGCAATTTAACTTTTTGAACTATGCATATTGCATGCATGTATGTATATACAATTATGTACATTATCATCCAAAACCACGTGAAAGTGTGACCTTATTTTGATGTATACTTTTATAATAAATATTGTTGGATTACACTACGAATCGGCAGTGGTAATTTGTTAACCAAATTGGAAAAGGATAAACACCTACTATAATTATAAATTTTGTTCGTTTTTTGTTATTTCAAAACAGAAACATATGTGATACGTGTAAAAATAACATACTGGAAAAATTCCCAAATTTAAATTTACATTTTAATTTTATCTAGGTATATTGTTTAACTTTTTAATTAAAACATAATTTTATAATATGTATAAAATTCAATATATTGATAATTGTGTACAGCAAGAATGTTCCCACGCTAAGACTTGTATTATCCTATGCAAATAAATTATTGTAAATAGATTTTAAATAAAAAATTCTTTTTAAACAAAGTTTTTGTATTAAATAAATAAAAACCATATTTATATTTATATTTATTACTTTCATACACACCTAATGCATTACAATATAAACGTATAAAGATAATAAATAATATTCTAATCATCGTCCAATACAATCACTTCATCTGATGAAATAGGTTTTGGTCTCATGTCGTTTTTTATTTCTGGCTTCTTTCCTTGCACCAACGGCTGTTTGGAACTCGACGTTTTAGTTATAGTTAACGAAGAGGGTAGTCTACTTATCGACGCATTAATCTCCTGAGGGACAGTTTTAGTGGAAGGCAAATTCTTGTGTTTTTCGGCCAATTTTTCCTGCAGTGTTTTACTTGGACTGACTTTGTGAAGGATAGTAGGTTTCGAGTGGACGGATATCGACGAGCTCGAAGAGTGCGCTTGAGGAATGAAGCTATGAGAACTTGAATGCGTGCTTGTTGCCCCAAAAGAGGTCAGGCTTGCAGTCATCGAAGGAGGTAACGATGACAAGACTGTTCCCATGCTAGGAGTTAATTGAGACGTTGATTTCTGTAGGCTGGTTATGACAGGGGTAGGAGCAGCTTTCGATACAGATGGCAAGGATACCGAATATGGTTTTTGTTTGGTTTGCGATGAACCACTCGACAATGATCTTCTCATGGGTTTTGGACCACGCTTCTTTTTCTGATGCATCATGCTATACGGCGAAAAATTTTGCTCCAGAAACAGTCGGTAAATATCTGCTTGGTACGAGCTTTGAAATGACGTTTCGAAAGTGGATTGCAATGAATTCTGAAGAGATGCATAGCCGGCTAAAGCGCTCATGTTGCCGATATACGATAACGCTGCTGCAGTTTGTTGGGAGAGTAGTGGATCATTTAATATCGGCAGATAATCCGGGTATGACAATTCTTGTGATGATGATATCTTCGGTATAACCGATGAAGACGTGTTTTGAGGTTTAGGGTCTACTTTTGTCTGGGTTGGCACGACCGCGACTGCCTTAAGCGTATCAATATATTTTACGCTTTGTTTCTTTTGTAAGTTTTGAGTTTTATCCATACTCGCAACTGTTTCTTGCTGCTTTGATATATTACTACAATATTTTATACTAAGATCAACTAAGTTCATATTTTCCGTAACAGGCGTAGTCATGACCAGTTTGTAAGCATCTACGAGTAAGTTAACGAGTTGCTTTGAATTTGGTTGCTTTTGAACTTTATTATAAGCTTTGCTAATATCAAACATCAGACTTTTAAGGGCCTGTCGCTCAACTTCATTGCTTTTCAAATCTTCCTGTTGACTGAATCTGAAGACTTGCCCTTTAAGAGATTGAACTGATAATGTAAATGCTTGCTGCGCCAATTCTTCTCTATCAGAATCTCGTAAATATTTTTTATCTTTATCTGGATTCTTTTGCAAATGTAAACTTATATCGAGTAAAGTTTTATGGTCATCTATCTCTTTTAATATTTCTAAAGTAAGTAATACGGAACGATTCATATGAGACGCGAAACCGCCAGCTTTTTCAACATCTGTAGATGTAAACCTCCAAATATTATTAAAAAAGTTTTTGGACTTTTTGTCACTAAAAAGTCCAGTCATTTTTTGACCTGACCTCGAAACGAAAGTAGACAACATGATATCTCTGCATTTTTCGATGTCTTTACCCTTTTTAGAGTAAAAGTGATAATGTGCAAGCCTATATAAGGCTTTATAGTGCGGTGTATAGCGGCTTGCACAATCTTCTAACGCATCGAGACAAGCTGAAACTATTTTATTTATTTCTTCTTCTGTTATGGGTTTACTATCTTGGGATGATTTACTTGAGTTATCACTATTTGCACTGGAATTGCTTGAACTATCTGAAGATGATTCGCTTGAATTTGAATTAGATGAAGAAGATGATGAAGAAGAGCTGGAACTTTCGTCTTGTTTATCGTTATTTATTTCAGTGTCTTCGGACAAAGTTTTCTGTAGTTTTTCTTGTGGACATTCCAAGGTTTTACTTACCTGCTCATTAGGAGTTGGAGCATCAGTCTTAACATCTCCAACAATATTCTCATCTTCTTTTGTGTCTTCTCTATCTAGAGCAGTAGGTAACGAAGAATCTTTATGACTAAAGCATTCAGTGTCGTATGAAGCCGAACGTCTTACTTTTGCCGCTGCAGCTTCTAATTTTAATCGCTTAGCTTCATGAGTGTCTTCTTCACCCGCATCGCTAACAGACCGCTTAAGTATATTTCCCGCTTGAACCGATTGTGTTTCTGATTTAGTTTCAATTTCAATATCCATGTCATTATATTTTTTATTCTTTTTTGAAAATGGTCCATGCTTCCATTCCTCTAAACAATTAATAAATACTTTCCCTACAGTTGCAGGTATCGGTTTGTTCTCATGTTGCTCAATATATTTAAGAATAGAAGCGTGTATCCTATAATGAAGTTCTAAAACTTCTATACAAAGATGAGATGATGTATTGTAGCTTATTTTTGTTGGATATGTAGCACCTGATTCTTTTAAACTTTTAACACCTTGCATATAAAATGTTAGATAAACAGAAGGTGGTTTATTTCTTTTTTCTGCTACTTTCCCTAAAGTGTAGTACAATAACCAATTATCAGATTTATCAGAGTCGGGGCAGGTCTTCTGTAAGTTTTCTACAACAGTCAAACAATTGTTAGTAATATCTAAAAAGTCCTCTTTCTGTTTTTCGATTGTCTCAAATTCTTCCATACTAAGTGATTCGCTAGCCTGCTTTAAAAGCCTTGAACAAAAAGAATGCACTCTGTACGCAAACATTCCATACTCTACCCACAAGTAAGAAACTTTAGGATTTAGCTCTACTGATCGTTTAAAACATCGGATGGTGGACTTCGCGGTATTTAAAAACTCTGTCTCCTCGTTAAAATTGTTAAATAAAATTAATGCATTATCCAACATAGCTGCCTTAGACAGAGCTATTTGAGCCCAAGATAAAAAGCGATCATTATTAATTACCACATCTAATATATTATATTTTATTGCCAATTTATAATCTTTCCTTTTGAAATGATGATCACCCAGATACAGGTAAATATCCCTCATTTTATAAGGTAACAATGGCGGAACCACTGGCAGCTTTTCTTCTACGCAATTAATATATTTTTCTGTCTCCAGTACATACTTAGATAAATCGTATTCTGCTGGCAATAATAATAAGATGCGCTGAAATAATGTTTCCATGTCGATGGTTATTGCCGCCACGTTACCAGTTAATACAGGCATTTCAGTAGGTCGAAAAATTTCATATACTTGTTGAGCTCTTTTCCAATCTAATGTATGAGAGCCACTGGCTTTGTGATCTACAGCTTTCATCTTCGGCTTCTTTACAGGATGATATGCATAAAGACAGAATACACACTGTTCCAAATATCTCTTAATTTGCTCTAAAGACTTTGCAAAAACTGGAGCACGAAGTCGAGGCACTACATTATCAAGAATGAAATAAAGTAGTTTTCCTTCTGAATGACAGCACCAGCTCTTTTCACCTAACTCCTCATGAGCCAAAAATAAAACTTTCAAAGAGTTTGGCACTGCATCATTTTTATCTGAATTGACCCTACTTCTTCCTTGATCTTCCTCCCTTTGTAAAATATAATGCAATATTATCCATGGAGATATAGTATCAAATGGTATATCAGACAAATTTGTTTCTATTTGGTGACTCATTAACCGAATTAAATCATCAATTCCTTGGCTTAGTTCTTTTTCAGACACCATATCTAAAACTGATAATCCTTCAGTCTCTAGTATGTGTTCTATGCAATATAATATTTTAGTAATAGTACGGGACCATTTTTCATTTTCTTTTGTAGTTGATTGTACAATTAAATAGATCTTTAACGACTCATGTAAACACACAAATGCCCATTTAATACAACAATCAATTTTGTTTAAAGCCCAATAACTTTCTATTATGACATATAACTGAACAGCGAAATCTAATGATATTTTTTCATCTTGTTTTCTAGCTATCATCTTGCACTGCTCAAAAGATTCTATAATAATTGATAAAACTTCCTCATAATTTCCTCGCCTATATAAATCCATAACTATTGATAATTTAATATTTCTCTCTATAGAAGTTATACTCTTTAAAATTTCATTTTCTTGAATAAGTGGTCTAAAAGTAAAGTTGGTAATATAAAGAAAATAAGTATCATGATGATCGCCCATAGCTTGAAATTCCTCCAAAAGCAAGTAAAGATATTCCAGCATAAATTGATTGCATTTATTTAAATAATGTATGTGTACTTTGAGCCAAAGAGATCGTAAAATATTTTCTAAACATTCAGAACCAGAAAATATAGTCGGTTTTTGTGATATTATTAGGTTTATAGATTCTACCACATTTAATTCATGAGTGGCTTCTTTATCTGATGCTAAATTTATCTTCTCGTTCACCATAAATTCTTGTGCTAACAAATTAATAGACACATATTGTAATAAATTATTGTGGTTTTCATCATTACAAGCTGGAATATCAGTATGATTATTATAGCAATTATTTGCTTCTACATACACCTTTGAAAGCCCTTCAGGCCATTTTAACTTGTATTTAATACTTAATATACTAAGATAATCATTTAATAAATCAATAATATCTTTTGTCTCCTTTGTATGCTTATCTATAAATGATTTCACATCATCCTTTTCACTGTTTTTACCAAAATAACCCTCAGTTTCATCATTGTTTACTGTCTCATCAAAAAGTTTAACTAAGTTTGCTACTTCTGGAGATGTTTCTTCAACCTGTTCTTTGTTCTGTGCTGCTTCTGGTACTAAGCCAAGTGGCACCATCTTATGCAGTATATCATAAATAGTTTCTTTGTCAGGTTTTTTTCGTCCTGATTTACGTCTGGTACACCACTCCCATCTTTGAAGTGATGTTACTGCACACCCCCTTCTTCGCACTGAAGCTTTTTCACTATCCGTTACACTTACTTCCACTGGTTCTGATTCTTCACATATTTCAATTTCTTCTTCTTCAAAAACTATTTCTATGTGACAAGCATGGCTGAAGCCATTTTCTGTTATATATTTATGCATATGAATCAATGATTCACCAACAGATTTCCAAGTGGTTCTTGAAATTGGTTTTTCTAATTTTAATTTTGGTACAGTATATTTAAATACTTCATCTTTTTGCTGTTGCACAGATATTTCTTGGACTTCCTCAGCCTCTTTTAATAGCTTTTCAGCTTTTTCTTCATCTATTGGCTCATCATCTGCTTCATTCCAAGTGTATATTGGATTTATATGTACCATATATTGTCTCATATGTCTGTAGACAGTATAAATGTGTCTTCTATATACAAGTCCTCTCATATATCCTGGATCCAGTTGTAATGCCTCATGGATGATAGTAATACAGTGCTCTTTGTATCCTAAGCCCAATAGAAGAATTATCATTTTGTCAAGACATGGCCAATGACGGGAATTCTTTTCAACCCCTCGCTGAAATGCATGTAAAGCCATTTCATAATTTCTTGCCTGCATGCTTACCTCTCCTAAACGATGCCATAATGTAATATCAGTGTCATCTAACTCAGAGGCCGCATTGTAAGTTTCTATTGCTGCATCGAGCTCCCCTGCATTATGTAACATAGATGCAAGATTCTTATAACACAAATATTTTAAATTGAATAATGGTAGTGACATTTTTTCATCCTTAGATTTAGGTTTTTGAACATCGTATAATATTTCAGTATCCAATAAGTCCTTTAAAAGCTGTATTGCTTCGGAAATATTTCCCTTTCTTTGCAAGTCGAGTGCTTTTGCATACTCCTGAAGAGCTATTTGCTCTAGTGCTTGTTTACTAAATTCTTCTTCTGATTCACTCTCTTCTGAATCAACATTAAACGCTGATATTTTGATCATTTTGAACAGTTTATTTACTCATATTATTACGATATAAAAAACAATTAAGCACAGAGTAACTTACGATCTATGTAAAAAATAATTGAAGTACGTAAATAACATAAATATTATGCGGCTTATCTTGCAAAAGCTTTGGTTTCGAAGACTACACCATTGTTGACTACAAAGAGAATGTAACCACTACGTTTTAGTTGACTACACTTGTTGTTCCTGGTCTCTGGACTACACTTTTATTTGTCATCCATGGACATTGGAGTGGACTACACTTTCGAAATTCGAGTGGCGGCTAACACAATTCACAAACAAAAAAATGAATTCACAAACGTCAAATGTGTATAACATAGAGTATATTGCTACATATATATAATAATACCATAGACAATTAAATCAACGAGTCTTCGAGCAATAACAAGCATGGAGCAACTGTACAATATAACAATTTAACAATATTAATAATAAAACTGTAGAGGTCGAATGTCTGCACATGGAAAAAAACCGAGTCAGAGGGATGTAAGAAGACAAATAGAACAAATCCAGATTTTTTTCAATTTTTTTTCTTTCTCTGTCTGTTTGTCTGTTTGCACGGACTAAGCTCCGAAACTATTGGACCGATTTAAATAAAATTTTGCACGTTGATACCTTATATCCCCGGTCAACATCCCGTGGGATAATTAAAAAACTATAGTAACTTATACAGTTTAGTACACAAAAACTACTGATTAAATTTTAATGAAACTTTATAATAATACAGTTCATACATTAGAATAACAAATAGGCTACTTTGTATCTCAGAAAAATGTACAGTTCCCGTAGGATACATATAATAAAATTCTAAGTGAGTCGAATCTGTAATTTAAAATGATGTCCACATAGCCTTAAATATAAAGTTTGTGAGTTCGCCAATGTTGGTCTTCGTATTGCTTTAGCCCACATTTTCTTTAGTTTTTCTCTTTTGGGAACAAATGATATCCGTTTTCTTTGCATCTTGGCACTGCACAATTTGTCCTTTGTATTAAATTTTAAATAAAATGAAAAAAAAAACCATCCACACTATAGAGCTTTACAATATATTGAGGGCTATAGTGATCGCGACACCTGGTGGGCAAAAATGCACAATTTTACCCCATTTTGTGGTCTGGTCTACTTCATAGAGTATATTGCTACATATAGTCTACTGGTCCAGTTTATAACTATACTCTTTTATTTGTCATCCATGCTATACTCTTTGCTACTTGTAGTCTCCATCTCCTTAATCTGTGGGTCTACTTCCCAGTATATATCTATACTCTTTGGGTCTACTATTGTATTTTTAATTTTAATGTAAGTCTGTGGATATCATAAGATTTATAAAATAGGTTATGTTTATTGTACAAAAAATAATAATTTAAACTTGTTAAAATAAAATGATACCTAAAAACATGTTACTGAAACGTTCATGTCCAATGCTTTTGCAAATTGCTGAAGCCCACCGAAAGCCTAGATGGTTACCTGTAGCTAAAAGTAAAATATATCGTATTCCCAAAAGACCAATAATATCCGAAGAAGAACGCCTTGAGCTATTACGGATAAATAATAATTATAAAACACAAATGCGTGCAATTCGACGTTTTTATCACGAAGAAATGATTAAAGAAAAATCATCACTCGAGAGTGCTAGTTCCGAAATGTCCCAGCGACTTGAGGCGGAAGAATGGGAAAAGTGTGTACAAATTAACGAAAAATGGAATATTCAAGTTGCTGCAGAAAGAGAAGAAAGAAGGAAAGAGGAATTGGCAGCAATGGAAGAATATGCATTTAAGAGAATGGAAGCTAAGGACAGAGAATTAGAAGTGAGAATAGCTAAGGCATCTGAAGAAATTAAAAAACAAAAGGTAACTTCTTGTACTATTTCAAATATTTTAATATTTAATTTAAACTTGTAAAAATTAATTTCTCTTCACACTATTTTTCTTTCAGGAGTTAAGTACAACATTTATCACTGCAGAGAACCTTGAATCGGCAATCGATCATGCTTTAGCTAACCCAGTGGATTACAACTATGCAATTGATTTAAAAGGCAATATATTTACTGGTCGAGAGACACCTATAGTCAAAGAAAAAAATGTTAAAGAAGTTACTGCTTAGGATAATAATAAGATTGAATATATATCTATATTGTATAACTTAATTGCCACCATTACTAGATTCAGTAGTATGTAAAAAAATGGATGAAAAAATATATTATAAACAGTGTGAATTGTTAAACTTTTTGCTAAAAATAGAAATATATGTTTTCATTTAAGTTTTTTTATGAACAAATGAAAAATACTTCTACACCTTTATATGACTAAAAAAATATGTTAAATAGTAACAAAAACCTGAAAAACTTAAGACATAATCTTCAATCAAATCTGGTAACATTATAACTAATAAAGATCAATAATACATGTTAGATGGATAGATAGACTAGAGACTCACCCCCGCTTCACCCGGGTTCGTCCCTAGGTATGTTTTAATGGTTAGAATGGAATAGATAGACTATATATTATATAAATGTATGAATATAGATTCATTTCCAGTAAAAGCCCTATAAGATAGAGTGTAGAGGTAAGGAGGACCAACTGTATATGAAAAAATGTCTGTCAAAAGCCCTTCACTTAGGATGGTGATACTGTAGCGAGTAAATTTTAAAGAAGGTACCAAAAGTAAGAAGTAGGTTAGGGCAGTAAGCAAGGACAGAATTATTTTTGACTATGTAAATAAATAGATGAGGTCTTGCATGAAACGGTAACATAAACTAATCACCAAAAGAATGCATTGTGCACACTTTCCGTGTACAAATGCTAAAAACACATCATATTCCTTACTTACTTAATTCAGCGCCATTCTGATTGATTTTTGACCTGTTATTTATTTTTATCTCATCCCTCATATAAGACGGTTCTTACATCTACCCTACTGGCCTACGTACCCCATTCTTCAATTTAAGAAATATCTAAGTCCAAACTACAAACTGTCTAATCAAGGTTCAAACCAGAGTTGTTATGGGTATGAAATTTCGGATCTGGATATGGGTACGGATATATTATACCGGATTCAGATACGGTTACGGATATAGAATTATTTCGGATTATCTAATAGTTTCGGATAGTTTCAGCTTTAAATTATATTTCATTTTTAAAGAATTGTAAAAGGAAAATACAAATAGGTAACAATGTGACTCTATTTGTAGGTGAGGTTATCATTGGTACTACAATATGACTGACTGATATGACTAAGCAAAAGAAATAACAAACACTATCTAAACAATGCAAAGAACGCTCGTCGCTAGTGTCGATTCGGCCGGATGAAAATCTGTCATAACGTGTCAAACACTGCCTCTACGCGAAATTACTCGAAATTTTTATATTAGATCGGGTTACGGTTTTGGATACATATTTATTTTGGATCCGAATTTCGGTTACTGTTACAGACAGAGCTCGGAACCGGTTTAAAAAAACTGTTTATTTCGGTAATGTAATGGTTAATTCATGAATGAATTTGGATACTGTTTTTGCTTTTATAATCTGCATTTCTTTAGCAAGATTTTAACTTATTACAAAATATAATAGCACGTATATGTATATGTAGAAGTTGAGCGTTGGCAGTATTAGTTATCATTATATCTCATTCTTTAACCGGTTAATAAAAACAAACGGTTTAGTAAAGCGAAACAATAATGGTTAACGGTTTTTCTTAGAGAAAGGTTGAATTTCGGTTTTGATACCGAAATAAACCGGTTAATTCATAAGTAAGAAACGTACATGCATCCTTCTGCGCGTATTATAAACTCACCAAAACTCATTTTAATCGGTTAATTTTGTTTATGAAACCTAAATTCGCCAAAAATCATTCTCCCGGATGTAACCGGTTAAAGAACGTAACCGAAACTTTAAACCGAAAAGCTAGTAGAGACTAAAAACAAACCACAGATAATAAAACAATAGTTTATTAAACAGACATATTATTGAACAAAGTCTGCCAATGCGGCGTGACGTTGAGCTTATGCTGCAGCGCGCCGAGCGACACGAGGCTGGCGGAGCGCGACGCGTCGTCCGCCGCCACCGACACCACTTCTTGGTAGAACGATGCTTTCGTCCCTGAACATACCTGTGTCGAATCACAAATGCCAACATGAATGTTTAAATTATATTTTCTTAGATTTATGCGAATATTTGACATTTAAAATAAAACTATTAGGACTTTTACGAATGTTTCACGGCCATCATAGACACGAGATCTACTGTCCCGGGACTGCAGTCACAATGCTGTAAAGTATTTGAAACGTCTGTAACTAATAAGTCTTGCAAGGGAAGAGAAGTAATGCTTAAATTGCGTATTATTTTTATTATTCATATTTTCTTCTCAAAAAGTGTAAATTAAGAAACTTCCATATAATTTACCTTAGTCTTTAATGAAAGTAAACAATCTGTATAGCATGGCAGGAATAATAGCATAAACAGCAAGTCACGCTACTATTGTTGACATTTTTTTAGCGGACTCCGTCTATATAATCCTTTATCTGAGCATGAGGTCCCATCACGAACAAAGAAAAAATAGTTCAAAGAAATGTCAATAGATAACGTTACATGTATCGATTTGTTGTTAAAGTCGTGTTAAATTAACAAAAGATAAAAAATTAGATCCCAAAAAGTGTATTATTGTTTGAAAAAATGTAAATATTCTAAGTGAAGATAAACGAAATAATTCACAGATGGCGCTTTTACTTGTTATGAATTGTTTGTCACGGTTAAAAATGGTTAAAATCAATGATTTTTTTTATTTGAATACGGGATGAATAAAACAATATTTACCATACGTTAGTTCGCACATATTTATAAAACAGTATAACTATTTGCGAATCGACATCTATTATCTTCTCAAGCAAACAAAAATAGCCCGAAGAATGGCCCGTGTCGCCGCTGTTTAATGCCTGTGTATGGGATGAGGCATCTGTGATTCTGTACTAGTATAGTATTGTGTAATCTGTGTTCCGAGTAACAATGTCAGATAAAATAAAAGTTATAAATGCGCTAACAAAAACAATCTATACTAATATTATAAAAAGGTTAAGTTTGTGACGTTGTAGAGGGTAATCTCTGGATCTACTGAACCGATTTAGATGAAATTTGGTAAGAACATAGTTTAAGACTCTGAGAAGGGCATAGCATACTTTTTATCCAGGAAATCATCCTTTTAGGGGGTGAAAATGAGGATGAAAGTTTGTATTGGGAAACAAGCTAGGGACGAAACCGAGCGAAGCGAAGTTGAAACCCTAGTGTCAAATAAAATAAAAGATGCAAATATTTGATATTGACCTCGAACACGGTGTCGCCCAGCGCGAGCGTGACGCGGCCGGAGCGGTGCACACGCAGCGTGCCTATTTTACCCTCCTCCAAGTCTGTGAGCCGACATCTGTTGTCCGTCGGCTGAAACTGATTTAATTTTACATATTTAATCCCTTATTGCACTAAACATATGTATATGACTCTTAAAATGACGCCACGGGACCCTAGTTAGTGTGCCAGCGGTCGCGGGTTTGAGTCCCGCTGGGGGCATTCATTTTTATGAAGAGCATGAATGTTTGTACTCCAGTCATGGGTGCTTAAATTTATAATATGTATATATTAGTTGTATATGTGTACTGTACAAATTGTAATAATTATAAAAATAATAGCAAAAATTAAATAAATAATTTTCCATATTCAATTATAATTAAAATTATAAAAATGTTTAAAGTTAAAAAATATTGTAATGTAATTGGTGCAATTTTCATTTTGTTAATTGTGGGTAGGCTGTCTGTAACAACTATACCTTCAAGACATGTAACACCTCAGTCTCTCCCGCGACCATGGATGGTGTAAAGCATTCGAAACGTCGGGAACCAAAAATCAAAATAAATCCGCGAAATAATCCGAAAAGATAGTTTTATTTAATAATGTCAAACATTCGCGTAAATCTAAGAAAGTATTACTGCTAATTGACTATAATTAAATGCACACGTGCATTTCCAGGAATTTTATGACTTTTTTTAAAGAAACAAAGGCGTCTAATCTCCTTAATTACCTTTGCGGTATTTTTTTTCACTAAACAATTGTCAACAAAAAACTATGCTTAAAATTAAGGGTGGCCCGATTTTTTTGCACGCCAGTGTGGATGGTACTGTGCGTTAATGTCCCAACATATTTATTTATATTTATTAAAATATAACAAAAGCTACATTAACATACTATTCAGTGCATACACACCTTAATCAATTATAGTGATCCCTTCCAAAGGAACATTATTTGGCAGAAAAAAATAAATCGGCGAATACAACAACGAGAAAAAAAGAAACATAGCATCTATAATGTATAGAGTAAACTTATTAAATATGGGATGTTAGTATAGATAGGACATGTGCAATTCACCGGTTTCTCTTGTTCATTGGAAGTAGAGGGCTGGTCGTGCTTCCGTCGCGGGTCCTCGTCGCCGCCGCCGCGCCCCGGCAGCGTGTCCGCCAGCTGCGAACAAACATTTGCTTCATTAATTATATTCAGCCCTTTTAAACGTCCCACTGCTGGGCACGGGCCTCCCTGCAATACGAGGGGTCAGACCATAGTCCACCACGCGGGCAAAGTGCGAGTTGGTGGACTTCACATGTCTTTCGAAAACTTGCTAGGTTCTCTCAGACATGCAGGTTTCCTCATGGTGTTTTCCTTCACCATAAGGCACCATGAGTAATCATGTTAGAAATGATTCGCACATGAAAATATCAGAGGTGCGAGACCCGGGATATGAACTCGCTTCACTTTTTTTTCCCAATCGAGCGCGTTACCACTGGGCTACCACTACTTTTTTTGCTTCATTAATTATTATTCAACAATTATATTTTTAAATAAAAATCTTAAAATCTTTTCATTAAAAAAATAAAAAATAAAAATCCATTCATAAAATAGGTGATTTTATGTGTAACAGATCTCCAAAAAAGTACAGACAAATTGAAATCTTTCTTACTTAAATAAACATCGACTTTTTTAACTAAAACTGAATTCAAAATTTGATAAGTTAGTTACAATGAAGCTATCCAAGTTATTACCTGCAATAATATTAATGTAGGCTTATCACTTCTGAGCAAGTTGACCACATTGGTATCTTCGAACACTTCCTTAACATCTGGCATTGGTTTCTCTTCTACTATTGGCACTAAAAAAATATGAATACATATTAAAAACTGTAATAAAAAGTGAATAATTAAACAGTTCAAAAGAATTGTCATAATTGAAAAAGTACAAAAAAGCAGCCTTACAAAATTATATAAAAAAAAACTATATAAAATAATTAAACCCATAAGACTAAGAGTGTTATGGGTTCTATTATTTTACTTAAGTAAAGTGTCCTTTGCAGAACAGACAACCAAATTAAAATATTTATATGTAAATACTGAATTATTTTTCCAGTAATATATACTTTACTTTGCACATAATTTCCATAAAACTTGAAATTGATTTTTAACAACAGATAAATTAAGGAATAATATATTATAAAGCAAAATAGAACATTCAGATTACAATAATCTAATGTTCTACAAAAAGCCAGCTGCTTTTAGCACCATTGAACGCTTCAGACACATCTGGTACTGTGCGTTTGTTTGATGCGATCTTATACAAGGTTAGGTCGAATTATACAATAAATGACATATTCATTGAAACAATTTTTTAAATTAACTTATATATCTAAAATTGGGATAAAAATATATCTAAAATTGGAATATTTTTTTCATTTATTGTAATTCACCACCCTGTATATATAAGATCTTACTGGCACAGTCCTCTGATGGCTCCGTTTTGATAACCACCTCCTGTTTTATCTTCACAGTCTTCGCATTTGTCAAGCCTATAAAATAATTGTTATAAACTAAATAGAACTTCTTACCTTAATAAATAATTTCCATGTGAGTTACATTAATTATATTAAGACAGCAAAAAATATTGAATTAATAGTGTGATGTCAACTATATATAATATCTAGATAAATAAAATTGAAGATATCAAAATAACAGCTTTTAACTAAATGTATAGGAAATTATATACGATACTTATAAGAAAAATATAATTTTTAAAATTTTTGTCTGTCTGTTTGTTCTGGATAATTTCGGAAATGGCTGGACTGACTTTAATGGGACTTTTACTAGCAGATAACGGATGTTATAAAGAGTAACTTAGGCTACTTTTATCATAGAAAAAGAATTAGGTTTGCACTCAAAAAAACTAAAACCTACCAAACTAAGTGAGGGTGAGTTGTTAGTTATTATAATAAAAATACTTTAACAAATAAAAAATCTCTAATTAAATATTTAATAATGTCATCATAATGAAATGGTATATATCAACACAAAAAGCAGAATATTAATATGCATACCTCCATCATCCATTGGCAGTTTAACGGGTGCTTCCACATCAAGTATCTTTTTAAAGTCTTCACTCTCATCTTCATATGACGTGTCGTCACCAAAAGCCTCTTTAATCTTCTGCTCTTCTAATTCATTATCTATCTGTAGAACGAAAGTAAAAAAATAAATAAATTGCCTATATATTCACTTCCGTAACAACCATTTCCATATCATAAATTGTAACGCCACTCCTGTTTTTACCTCTCATGGCGCGCCTAAAGAAGTTTCACTTCAATACTATGGTATACATTATTTCACTTGAAATTTTTGTAAAATATGAGTAATAGAAGTTAGCTAATATAAATTTCTTTTTTTTATTTCAACTTACAAAATATAGTATGGGCAACTGCTACATACAAATGCATATTTTAGATTTTGTTTATAGTAACCTGGCTTTTCACAAATTTTCAAAGAAAAAAAAATTTTCAAAAATTCCAAAGCAAGTTTTTATAAAATGCAAGATGGCACTTTTTCAAGTTCATAGATTTAAATACTATACTAAACAAACAAAATGAAAAATATATTATAATAATATCTTATGAGTTTAAAGTGCCCTTGGAATTTGAAAATATGTATTGGATTTCTACAAAAAAACCCTTTTTAAAATCTCAAAGACTACTAAAACCGTTCAGAGTTAACTGTAACTATTCCTTACAACTTTAATATTATTAAGTAAAATTTATACCACACCATACATCAGTTCAAAAGAATCATATTTAGGTACTTTTTTTAAATAATTTATGTTAAACTTTACTTAAAAGTAATTACAAATGCACAAAATGCAATTCGACGGTCGCTCAAACTCAGTACATTTTGTGATAGGCCTCTTAAATGTTAAAAAGGTAACCTAGATGGCTCTTAAGAAGTCCTTACCAGAAGGAACCCCTTATAATTGTAGATATTTATCTACAATTACCTCTCATAAACATACCAAGCAAACAAAGATATCAAAGTAATTGAATATTAAACAAAAAATTTAAGCATGACATGTACCTTTATAACATCCTTCACTTTTATAGTTGGTTTCTGAAGGGTTGGGTTTGGATCTACATCTCTACCATAAAATACTCTTCTCTGATGTCTTTCAGCACTACCAAGACCTGTACAAGTGCATAAAAGGTAACTCAAGTCCTCTTTATTTTATTACTTCACAATGAAATCAGTGAAAAGTTAAACATCAACAAATTAACATAGAGGAAAGATAGAACACTAGTATAAAAATTCATTAATAATTGCCTGAAAAAGTGAATATTCAAATATATTATTCTTTATATTAAAGTAATTTCTAATGCATCCTTTCTTAAATTGTAATTATGAATTACAAATTTGTTTTAAAATGTATATATTAATTTCTTGTAATATACCTTCTGAAAACACTCCATCAGATTTAATAACTTTTGGTCCATTTTTGTTTACAAATTTATTCTTATCAAATTTTCGATCTTTTCTATTTTTGTCCTCTTTTTTCTGGTCACGAGAATTTGCTGTTGACGGTCTAAAATATTTTATTGTGTAATGGTTTTAACTGTTAATAGTTTTAAGATAATTTCTAACAATGATCACTTTATAATTTCCAACGAAAATAATTACTAAGAATAATTACCCTTTATTTTTATTTCTAGTCACGTTTAAATTTGGCGTAAACACTTTTTTATTTGGTTTTATTCCACCTAGTGAGAGATCTCGAGGCGGTTTCATTGAAGCTAATCTTTGAAGAGGATCAGTAACTCCATTTGTGTTTGGTTTATCTGAATTCGACATTTTTTATGTAATATGAACCTATAACATCTATAGGAATATATAACATTTACGTGTTATAAAAATATACACAAATAGGTAAATATTTCACAACCAAAACAAAATAGAATATAGATAAGGACATTGGACACTAGTCAGTACATATGACTTTGACATTTGACAACTTAATTTCGCTTCTTCTTCTTCCTGCACAGACCAGAAACAATATAAGAGTTAACTGCTTGAAATTAATTCTTACTTTTTAAGAATTACGTTGCCATCAAAATATTTCAAGGAAGCAGAGAAGCAGGACTCTAGGAGGAAAGAGAAGAAGAGGATTCATCAGGAGCACAAAGTAATAAAGAAAGTGGCTTACATTTTTAACCCCTATTTAAAAATATAATTCAGTTTTCCAGGTGATGGAGAATCTGAATTGTAAATATAAAAAAAAAATTAGGGAAATGAAGGAGACAAATGGAACTGTAATTTAATCTTTTTTTAATTAACAATTACAACATTCTTATGTATCATTTATTTTATAGAAGGTAATATAGGAAGTATCTTTCTATGTTCTTTGGTTCATAATTTTATTATTCTCTATGGTCCATAGAGATTACAGATGAACTGATGAAAATTGAAATTTAAAAAATAAAAATATCATTCAAAAAATAACGATCAAAGTAAGCCCGATTCTTATTAAAGTTACAAATTAACGCATTATTACATAAAGTACCTACCTAATATTCGTTGCATTTACTTTAATCAACATTATAAGTTGTAAAAGAAATAATCCAATTGAAGTTTAAAGAAACTCTCATAAAACTTTTCGTTCAATAAATTTTAGTACTTTTTCGATATGGCCGATTCCCTTTTCGACATTTTTGGAGACCACTTGACGCGGCAAGCTGTGAAAAATGTTACGAGGCAGCCGTTTTCTAATATTGGTAAGAAAGTATTTATTAAGTTTACTTATGTACTATGAATATGTTTATACTAGGTACAGTTAATTATTCCGTCCGATTAAGAGGACCATCACCATTATATCATGCTACAGGTATTATGTATATTTTGATTTTTGCATGATCTACTAAATTGTCACCGATGCTTATTCATGGGCCAAACTAGAATCGAAAGCCGTCTAAATTAAGAAAAAATGTAAAAAAGACTCGAAAATTGGGCACTAAAATTACTGAATTAATATTATTGAAGAATCAATGATAAACAAACATTCCATTTACTCTACCAAGTGAGTCTGAATTGCACTTACATTACATTACACCAATTTACATATGATTTTTTACAGAGAATATGGGAAAGACTATCTCAGCCACTCCACTCAAACCAAATGAGCCCGTGAAAAAACTTGCTGAGAATAAGAAAACATTTCTATCTAACACTGGTAAAACCTTACAAGGCACTCCAATGCGAAAAGTATTTACACCACAAGCTGTTAATGTTGGTCCACTCATTTATACAGATAATGACACTAAAAAAAATGACAAAGGTTTTAGCTTTGCTGAACTTGAATTCCATAAACCTACATGTGTATATGGTATGTTATTTTTATAATTTGAACTGAAATTCAAGATATTAATTTAATATCGAAGTAAACTATTGAAAGCAATATTTCATATTAATTGTTTCAATTTTTTTAGATAACTATCACAGAGATCTGTTGGACTTTATGCCAATATCAGAGCCAGACATAATAAAAATGTCTCCCCTGAAGACTCCTCCACCAAGTCATCGAAATCATAGCTTTGAGTTTGATTGTTCTTATCAGGATGATTTCTTTACAGGTGAGTTGTAGTGTTCCTTTTAGTATTTTGATTTTATTTTGTGAAATATGATATATCTAAATATATATATATATATATATATATATATATATATATATATCGCTATAGATCAATAAATTTACTTAATGCATAAGAAATTATATACAATATATAATTAGTACTAATAAGAAAAAAAACTATTTTTGTCTGTCTGTTTGTTCTGGCTAATCTCTGAAATGGCTGGACTATTTTGACAGGCTTTCACTGGCAGATAGCATTAAGTTATAAGGAGTAACTTAAGTATATAAAAATAAAATATAAGTATTTTTATTTTAGAAAAAAAATAGAAAATAAATCCTCTCAAAAAAAAAAATTCCTTTATTACATTAAAGTTATTTTTCTGATGTTATTTTTTTCAGATGACTTTTCAATTGAGAGCTTGCCTGATGATGATCTGGGACTGCCAGACTTGTATTAATTGTTGACACTAACTATATATTTTTTTGTAATTATTAACTTTTAAAGGGAATATTGAACAAATGCCGAAGTATAACATTTGTTTATCATTGCCTGTTGTTCCGTAAAGCTTGCCTACATCAATTTACAATCCTGTTTTTAAGACAGATTCTCCATTTTTCGATATAACAATAGCAGTTTAAAAATAATATGTGGGTGTATTGACATAGCTTTATATAAAGTGAGAGTATAAACAGTATTATTGTACATTAAATAAAATATTGTTCCTTTATGTATTTCTTTTTAATAATTATACCTCATAATATACAGTACATTTTATACTTAACAATTCTTAAAGAGATCCTTAACTATATGTGTGTAATTAAGTTAAATATTTTTTTCCAAGCAACTGCACTTTCTTCTCAAAAGCTGGAAAAGCGATAATTGTATCTTCTTTATAAAAGGGATTTAGTAAAAGTTTAATGTAAGCTTCATAAACATCCGTAAAGAAGTTTTTAATACCATCTTCATTGCGTGCATCATGTACCATAACAAATCTCATCTACAAAAAACAATATTGTTATTTCTTACATAAATATATATTACCAAACATTTAACAGTAATAATTTAATTAAAATAATATCAAATCATACCTGACTAGCAGTAACAAATGCTGAGACAAACCACTGATTAAATTTGTCCACTGATTTGAGGTAAGTATTTGTAACTTTCCACATATGCTCATCTACTAGATCTAGTGCTGCATGAGCTATGAACTGATTCAAGTGCCTATTATCTTCTTTCTTAAAAAGAAATAAACATTAGAGATTTTACAAAATATTCACTTAAAAGTAAAAGTATATTAACTTTAAAAAATTAAATATAAAGAATCTCTTGCCAAAAACAAAAGACACTAAATGTTTCTTAAAAACTTGTTAAAATGAAAAGTTTTCTGGATATTTGTATCGCACTATTAAATACCTAATGCTTTTTATATTTAAGAGGAAATGCTTACGTTACTATCAATATCTTACCTTCACTTCTTTGGTAACGGGAATAAAATCCATTTCAAATATAGGATTATCAGAGTGACCCACTATTACAAAATAATACGTTCCTGCCATATTATTAAAATTTATATTGTTCTATATTCATAAATATATTAAGCTTTATCTAAAAGCTTTTATAATAGCTAATAGAAAATTAAATAAATATTAAACACAAAACTACACTATTTCTATTTGTATTCGTATCCTGTCATTTATGACATCAAAACTTCAAATACAAAATGTCAACACTTTAACGTCAAGAAGACAGTAAATAAGAAAAACGTTCCGAAAAACTTATAATATTTGAAATACCAACTAATATATTTAGTGTTTCTATAGACTACTAACAATCCATTTCCAATACGTCGTAGATTATATTTATTGTAAAACATTTTAAAAATGAGTTAGGAATGATTAGAATAAATATTTACATCTGCCATATAGAGAATCGCAGTTTGAAAAAATCAAAATACGCGCTTAAAAGTTAAAACTTAAATTTTATACTTATCAAGCCAACAAGTTCTTCACTATTTTTCAAATGGCGAACAAAGCGAAAAGTATATTTTAAAATATAATCGAAGGTAGAGCCATTATATATTTTATTGTACAATATAATGCTCAGAATTTATTTTAATTATTTCAGATATACTTTCAATACCTATTGAAAATTTGAGAATGTGGCGAATTGATAGTTGGATAAAATATGACTCTAAACTAATGAATCCTGTGTTACGTATCCAATATGATCAATTAATAATAACTACCGAGGACAAAATTTTAGAATCCATTAATTTCATTGGAAAAGTAAAAGGAATTTTAAAGGATGATGTATTAATATTAATAATTAACGTGACTGGTCGAGAAGTAAGTTCAATTTTCTACTCATGATGCAACGAAGAGATGAACAAAACTATTCAATTAGTGCTATTTTTATTTTCATATAAATAAAACCTATACAACTTGCAAAACAGGAACTGTGAAATAGATGACATTTTATGATAACGTTATTTTTACAACTGTTTCTTTCTTCTAATCAAACTTCAAAGAAGTGTTTTCGTTTGATTCAGATTCGGAAAATTAAATTTAAAATATGCACTAATGTGAGAAAGCACAAACAAGATTTAAACGCATGTTTTCCCATTGTGGACTATAATACAGTATCAAGAAATAAAATAATTCCTACATATCGCAAACTAAATGATGTTATAAAGGAAGCATTCGAAGGAAATGGTTTGTTGGTCCAGTATTGTATTCTTTAGAATGTGCTATTTTTTGAATTTAACAAATATGAAAGTTAAAGTAAATATTAAGTAATTGTACAGTTAACATTTTTATGGTTTATATAAACCATAATTTTTTATTTTTATTTTGTTGGTGTAATATTCCCACAACACGTTTTTGTAAATCAAATAATTACTAAATTAAGTGTTATTTTTTCAGTACAATTTAGTGAAATGGCATTGCCAGAAAATTTCAGCAACTTTGTTAGATTATGCTTAATCGATCCTTTATTTCCTAAAATTGTCGACGAAACCGTAAAAATACTTAATAGCCAACTACTTGACAAAAGTTCTTAATTAGGATTAAATATTTTATAATAGAAACTTGGTTTTATTTGTGTCGACTTAATTTTATTTTGGAAGATTAGTGACAAGTGTCGTAGAGATCAAGAATCTATGTAATATATATATATTATCGTAGCATAGTAACTGTTATAAATACTCTTTACATGTACATTCTTTTGTAATTTTAAAAAATATTCTTATGTTCGATTCTTATGTATGTCATTCATTCATATCTTTATGCTAATAAAAATGTCTTATGATTTTGTGTACTGAAGTTATTTTATTGGCGACGAGGAAATAAATAAAAATGAACCCTGAACAAATAGACCAATTACTTCGAAATCAAGTATCACAGCAACAACAAATAACAGAAATCCTGAAATTTTTAGTTGAAACACGAATTACCGCACCCACACCATTAAACAACAATGGAACGGAATTGCAGGTAACTACCTCAACACCGACAGAAATAAATAAAATAGCCATCATTAATAATTTTAGAGGAGACAAATTTGAACCGTCAAGTAACTCGTCAATTGAAAATTTTATCGAATATTTTGAAGCCAAATGTAGAATAGGGGGTGAAAGTTACTTAAATATACAGAAAGACCTTTTATTATCATGTTTAAAACCTGAAACATATCACGAAATTAAAACAGCACTAATACCCTCATTCGAAAATTCTACCTACGATGATATTAAAAATAAACTACTAGATATATATAAAACACGTAAAACAAGATACAAGGCATTGACTGAATTTTGGTCTTGTATCAGAGATACCTGTGAAAGCATGGAACATTATGCCAATAGGTTAAAAGAACTTAGCAAAGATTGCGGTTATGATGACACTATATTAGAACGACAGTTACGAGATCGCTTCGCTACAGGGCTAAATCATCAACAATTACAAATTGAACTAAGACAAAAATGGCCTGATCTTATAGATACTCAAAACGGAATAAAAACAGAAGTAACATTTTTACAGTTATTTGCTATTGCTCAGTCTAGGGAACTAGCTGAAGCAGATATTAATACAGAGTGTAACATTAACAGAATATCTAACAAAACTGGAAACAGAAAAGAAGAAAACATACGGAAACCAACACGCAAATTACGCCTAGACCAATGTCGCAGATGCGGCAAGCACAATAGACACAGCTTTAACAAATGTGAAGCCAGAAATCATGAATGTACAGAATGTGGAGTTATAGGTCACTTTGAAAGTTGCTGCATTAAAACTGGCCGAGCGTACCTTGACAACTATAAACCGCTTAAAAAATCAACTAAGTTTCAGAAAAATAGGCACTTATACAGAATTACAGAAAGAGCAAATATAACTAACAGAGTATCACAAACACCAACTTCATCATTTTCAGGTAGCGAAGAAAGTGAGGAAGAGAGCAATACCTACAAAATACAAAATAAAAAAACAAGCAGGTGTAAAAAAATAGATGTTAAAATTAACGGTATTAAGTGTACAATGGATTGGGATCCCGGTTCCGTATATTCCATCATTAATACTAAAATGTGGAGAAAAATTGGATCACCCTCACTAATGCAAGCACCCACATTAAAAGCTTACTGTAACTTCAAACTAAAACCCAAAGGCTTAACTGATATTACTGTAGAAGTTGATAACCGAAGTTTAATATTGCCAGTAATTGTAATGAAGCATGCTGAGCCAATGCTCTTTGGCCTACAGTGGAGTGAATCTTTTGATATGATTTTTCCGGAACCCGTTTACTCTATAAAAAATATTGCAATGACAACGAACATGTCACTTAGGCGTGTATTAGATGCTCACACTAGGCTCTTCGACGGTAAACTAGGAAGAGTAAACAATTATCAAGTAAACATCCACATTAAAGAAGGAGTAGAACCAAAACATCTTCCTGCTCGTCCTATAAAATTTAGTATTAAAAGAAACGTAGATATTGAATTAGAGCGTTTGGTTAATGAAGGCATTATTACTCCAATAGACCCAAACATAACTCCAGTAGAATGGGCAACACCTACAGTTAATGTTCTTAAATCCAATGGTCAAATAAGAATATGTGGTGATTACCGTATAACAATTAACTCAGCACTTATAAAACATGCACACCCCGTTCCTCTTTTCGACCACTTACGTCAACGACTATCAAATGGAGAGAAATATTCAAAAATTGATTTAAAAGACGCATACCTACAATTTGAAATAGCCGAAGCATCAAAAAAATATCTAACAATTTCGACCCACAAAGGTTATTTTCAATACAACAGAATGCCATTTGGTATCGCAACTGCGCCATCTATTTTTCAACATTATTTAGACAAACTTTTAGAAGATATACCAAATGTAGCTGTTTATTTTGATGACATAGCTGTGACTGGAAGAAATGACAGCGAACACTTAAAAGCACTTTCCACAGTATTTACTCGATTGGAGAAGGCAGGTCTCAAAGTAAACTTAAAAAAATGTTCATTTTTACAACCAGAAATAGAATACTTAGGACATACAATTGACAGATTTGGTGTGCGGCCAACAAAATCAAAAATTGAAGCTATCCTTAATGCGCCACCGCCCACTAATATAAAAGAATTAAGATCTTTTCTAGGTTTAGTTAATTTCTATGAGAGATTTATTCCAAATTTACATAGCATTTGTGCAGATCTCCATAAGTTAACTGGAAGTAAAAGCAAATGGCAATGGAGATCTTATGAAAATGAAATTTTTGATGAAATTAAACACAGTATAACAACGTCCAAATCATTAATAGCTTTCGATGAGACACGCCCTCTATATTTAGCATGCGATGCTTCAGAGAAAGGCATAGGCGCCGTATTATTTCATAAAGCAAACAAACTTGAACAACCTATAGCATATGCATCAAGAAAACTTAAATTAGCAGAATCCAGATATTCAGTAATAGATCGGGAAGCACTTGCCATATTTTATGGCATTAAAAAATTTGACCAATATTTAAGAGGAACTAAATTTACTTTGGTAACTGATCACAAACCTTTAATACACATTCTAGGACACCAACGTAACTTACCAAAAATAGTAAACAACAGACTCGTGAGATGGGCTTTATTAATAGGCAGCTATGATTATGAAATTTTATATAGAAAGGGCGAGAATAATACAGTCGCTGATTATTTATCACGTATGCCAAATCCTAAAGAGGAACCTACAAGAGCTGAATTAAGAATTCATAAAATTGACGAAATTACACAATACGACAAAATAAATGATTTATCATTAACTCAACAACATATTAAGGAAGAAACCGCGAAAGATAATAGCCTTAAACAAGTAATGCAATTCATTAAAACAGGATGGATAAATTTAGTAAAGAAAGCAGAACTACAACCTTATTTACGCAAACGTGAAGAACTTGCAATAGAAAACAATTTAGTTATGTGGCAGGGTAGAATTGTGATGCCGTGCACATTGCGCCTGCCCACGTTAAAATATTTACACAGAGGTCATCCAGGTATTTCGGCAATGAGAGCTTTAGCACG